AAGTGCAGAGCTCCAACACGAGTTGCAGAGGTCAAGCATGAAGTGCAGAGCTCCAACACGAGCTGCCGAGGTCAACCATGAGCTGCAGAGGCCGAGCACGAAGTGCAGACCTCAAGTACGAAGTGCAGGGGTCGAGCACGAGCTGTAGAGTTCAAACGCGAGCCGCCGAGCTCAACCACGAGCTACAAAGCTCAAACACTTGCTGCTGAGGTCGAGCACGAAGTGCAGAGCTCAAACATGAGCTGCCGAGGTCAACTACGAGCTATAGAGCTCAAACACTTGCTGCCAAGGCCGAGCACGAAGTGAATAACTCAACCACGAGCTGCAGAGCTCAAACACTTGCTGCCGAGGTCGAGCACGAAGTGCAGAACTCAACCACGAGCTGCAGAGCTCAAACACGAGTTGCCGAGGTCAACCATGAGCTACAAAGGTTGAGCACTAAGTGCAGGAGGTTGAGCACGAAGTGCAGAACTTGAGCATGAGCTGCAGAGTTCAAACACTTACAGCCAAGGTTAGCCACGAGCTTTAGAGGTTGAGCACGAAGTGTAGAATTCAACCACGAGCTGCAAAGCTCAAACACGAGTTGTCGAGGTCAACCTTAAGCTGCAAAGGTCGAGCACAAAGTGCAAGGGTCGAGCACGAAGTGCAGAGGTCAAACATGAGCTGTCGAGGTCAACCATGAGCTGCAGAGCTCAAACACTTGCTACTAAGGTCAACCACGAGCTGCAGAGCTCAAACACTTATTACCGAGGTCAGCCACGAGCTGCAGAGGCTAAGCACGAAGTGTAGAACTTGAACACAAGGTGCAGAGGTCGAGCATGAGCTGAAAGGTGTGCAGCATGAGTTGCAAGGTGTCAACACCCTCAACAAGGTGCTGATACTTTTCCTGCATCTGTCCCGAAGAGTCCGTGTCGGGTTTTTGTCCTTCTCTGCAAATTCTATTAACGGTAAAATTACAATCCCAACCCCTTACTTTTGGATTCTGCACAATTTAATCCTCAAATTTCATTTCTTTGCAATTTACTTCTAAGGATGGTGACTTCTTCCAATTAAGTCATTTCCAGCACAAATAATGAAATTATGCAAAATTAAGTAAATTTTCACAAAATTCATCAAAATATCAATAATATCAAGGCACAAATTTTACATTAATATGTATATAAATTTAGTTTATCAGCCATGTATTGTTTTGAAAATTAAAAAAGATGAACTTGCAATCTTTTTATTTATTTATTTATTTTATATAATATACTTTCTTGATTATAAAACTTTATGCTTTTGATTTTTCCTTTTTTCAAGTCCTTGTGATACAGGTTGTCAAGAAAGCAATTGAGCTCCGCAGCAAATTAGAGCTTTGGTCCAAGTTTGGTCCAATCTTATATTAAAATTTATTATTAATTGCTTTCCGTATTCTTTGCATTCATTTCACATTTATCCATTCATTCTGCACTTATTTTTGCATTCATAATATCATTTTGCCATCTCATTTTTTTTATATATCATAATCATGCTACTTTGTTCATTTGCACTTATGATTATAAATATATGTTGCTATTTTAGAGATGGAAAAGTGCAGGGACTCCATGTGGGGTGGGTTCTAGAAAAATACCTTTATGGTGAGCTCATCCTATACGAGCTATGAACAACTCCTCCATAAAAAATTTTAAAAGGCCACGGGCCTAAACCATAAAGCTCAACAGCTTACAAAGATGATCAAGTAAATTTCTTCTTTGGCATCATTTATGAAAGGCTAGATTTTTTCTCCACATTTGCTCCTAAGTCAAGGCAAGGAGGAGTTAACATTGTTCATAAGAAGCTAAATTCTTTCTCGACTTTCTATCTCATCAAGCACAATTCTTCCCAAGTATAAATTAATTCTGGTCTGCAAGTCAAGTAAGTGTTACACACTAGAAATTTCAAAATTTCTTTGCACATCCAAGATTTGTATTGAGTCATTTCACATGTCCAATTTTTGTTATTATATTTACAAGCTAGAAAGACTTTTTATTACAACATGCATAACTACTTGTTTATTGGACATGTTAAAGTATAAAAAATGCAAATAAGGTAATTTACGATTACAACGTTTATGTTTACCGACCCCAAATGTGCGGGTGGAGGGGGGAGAAAAGTCATATATTATGACTCCTAATAGGAACCTATGATTAAAAAGTGCAGCTTCATAATTTATTGAAGTTACAGTTATTAACTGTGATACTAAGCTAAAGATATATATCTATATATATCTGTATCCTTATCATATAATATAGTCAGCCTTGGACTTTAACAATAGGAACTTCATGTGCTGACTTAGGAACTTAAACAAGTTCATAAACTTAGTTGAGTTCATCCTCATGACAGTCCATTCCAAGGTGAACTCCCTTGGATGATGTAAACCTCGAATGAACTCAACTACTTAAGCTAATTCTCATGCTAGCCCATCTTGAGGTGAACTAACTTGGATGAGGTAAACTACCTCGGATGAGCTTAATTGCTTGAGCTCATCCTCATGATAATCGGGTGAACTACCCCAGATGAGGCAAATGACCCCGAATGAGGCAAATGACCTCGAATTAACTCAGACTACCCGCTACCCACGTAACCTCCACATCATTCACAAGTGAATGACTCACAAAGGGGGAATAGTGTGATGGTAGTCCGAGGTGGGCTACCTTGGATGATGTAAACCTCAGATGAACTCAACTACTTGAGCTCATCCTTATGACAACCCATTCCAAGCTGAACTCCCTTGGATGGTGTAAGCAACCTTGGATGGTGTAAGCAACCTCGGATGAACTCAACTGCTTGAGCTCATCCTCATGATAACCCATTTTGAGGTCAACTACCTCGGATGAACTTAACTGCTTAAGCTCATCCTTATGACAACCCATTCCGAGGTGAACTCAACTACTTGAGCTCATCCTTATGACAAGCCATTCCGAGGTGAACTCCCTTGGATGGTGTAAGCAACCTCGGATGAACTTAACTACTTGAGCTAATCCTCATGATAGCCCTTTCCGAGGTCAACTACCTTGGATGAGGTAAACCTCGGATGAACTCAACTGCTTGAACTCATCCTCATGATAACCCATTCTGAGGGTAACTACCTTGGATGAGGTAAACCTTGGATGAGGTAAACCTCGGATGAACTTAACTGCTTGAGCTCATCCTTATGACAACCCATTCTGAGGTGAACTCAACTACTTGAGCTCATCCTTATGACAAGCCATTTCGAGGTGAACTCCCTTGGATGGTGTAAACAACCTTAGATGAACTCAACTACTTGAGCTCATCCTTATGACAAGCCATTCCAAAGTGAACTCCCTTAGATGGTGTAAGCAACCTCGGATGAACTCAACTGCTTGAGCTTATCCTCATGCTAGCCCGTTCGAGGTGAACTACCTTACATGAGGTAAACAACCTTAGATGAACTCAATTGCTTGAGCTCATCCTTATGACAGTTGAGCTCAGGTCTAGCTTGCAACCAGCTTGCCATTTCACCAGCTATCTTGTGTTCCACCTCTTATGGGCCATTCATCAATAAGATATGCTGAGTCCCTATTTATTAAATATATTGAATATAATATATTCTTCATGTTTCAACTAAAAGTGAGTGGCTTAAATGACTTTTATTTATATTAATACATTTGTGGAGCCTCATGCAAATGGTGGAATAATCCACAAGCTAATGTTATCCATGAGTTGGTAGTCTTTATTATTGGTTCTAACTTAAAGAGATAGATCTCTCTTTGAGAGGGGGAGTAGGAATACATAAGCAACAAAAATCAACTTTCATATTTTACTTGGCATGTGCTTAACTTGCTGCTTAAATATTTCAAGCAACAAAAATAAACTTTCATATTTTACTTGGCATGTGCTTAACTTGCTGCTTGAATATTTCAAACAACAAAAATAAACTTTCATATTTTACTTGGTATGTGCTTAACTTGCTGCTTGAATATTTCAACTTGAATATATTTTGAAAGTCATATTTTAGCATTGTTTATTTTGATGACTCATGTCACAAACATTTATATTTAATTCCAAATTATTGTGCCACTTTAATGTTGATGCATCTCATGTATTATTGACTATTGATGAACTAATGGCATCTTGTCAAGTTTTATGTTTAGAATGAATTTTTACAGGTCTCAAGAGTTTGTTAACTCCTTGGCTTGGAAGACTCGGAAATATGTTATCAGCTTTTGAACCCATTGGTTCATCAAAAAATATTATTGGCCTTTGAGGCCATTAGCTATTGGCTTTTGAGCCCATTCAATCTACAAGAGTTTTTGCCCATCAATTATTAGCTTCTCAGCTCATTTGTTCTATGAAAACCCAATTCAGTTTTAGCTCTGGAGAGCACAACCCTCGAAGGGATTGATTTTTATGCTATGACTCGAGAGACCAAGATTTTCTTATGGATATCTCAAGATGGGAATCTGTGGTAGGCATCTCTAGCTACCAAAATTGGCATTCAATCAACTCTACAAAAACTGGTTCTGATCCTCACTCTATAAAGCGTGACCCTCAAAGGTTTGGCTTCCATTATTATGGCCTATGAGGTCGCAAGTCGTCACTTCCGAGTGGTCATCTTCAGGTTGTCATTCTCGGCTCCGGCCACAATGACTCTAGTCATTACTTATTACCTCGACTACGGCCCAAAATACATGACTCTGTGTCATGCATGTTTACTTCAGCCACGGCCATAACACATGGCTACGAGTCATGCATTTTTACTTAGGCTACGGCCTAAAATACATGACTCCGTGTCATGCTTGTTTACTTCGGCCACGGCCATAACACATGACTACGAGTCATGCATTTTTACTTAGGCTACAGCCCAAAACACATGACTCCGTGTCATGCATTTTTACTTAGGCTACGGCCTTAACACATGACTCCATGTCATGCATTTTTACCTCGGTTACAACCCAAAACACATGACTCCGTGTCATGCATTTTTACCTCGGCCACAGCCATAACACAGGACTACAAGTCATGCATTTTTAATTAGGCTATGGCTCAAAACACCTGACTCCGTGTCATGCATTTTTACTTAGGCTACAGCCCTAACACATGTCTCTGCGTCATGCATTTTTACCTCGACTACAACCCAAAACACATGACTCCATGTCATGCATTTTTACCTCGGCTACAGCCTAAAACACGACTTCATGTCATACATTTTTATATTTACTACCCCCATCTACACTCATATTCCACACCAATCATTCACAAGTGAATGACTCCGGGAGGGGGAATAGTGTAAGGATAGTAATATAACTAGCTCATAAACATAATGAAGGCCCATGAGGCCCAAATACAAAAGAGCACATGCATTAGTTACTATGGAGTTCATATACACTCAAATAGATCCAAAAGGACCAACAGAAGTGCAACACATGTCTAGCATCCCCAAAGTATTTATAAATACCCCCACACCCCTCAAAGGTACGAGACTTCTCCTTCAGTATTTCTCTCTAATACACTCCATTCTCTCTCATACACTTCATTCTCTCTAAAGAACTCTAAGTGTAGACTATTACTAACTTAAGCATTGGAGTGTCTACCCCGAGGGCCACCCTCGGGGCTTTGCAGGTTTATTGGACGAGAAGATCTGAGCAAGGAAAGCCTTGAAGGTTTTCAGCAACAACAGCTTCTTACATGATTTTATTTTTGATATAATCATAGGATTTTGTGCCTGCTAGCTAAATGCTAGCCATGTTGACATGTAATCTATGGACCAATTCATTTCTATTATTTCTGTATCCTACCAATAGGAGTATAAGTATTGGTAATTTTCATACCTGCTAATGGGAGGTATTAAATATTGATCATGACCTCAAATGAGATCATTTATTGGTTTTCCACATATGGCATTCTATTTTATTCTTCTGATATTTATGAGAACTATTTGTTGACATGCTTTGTTGTAAATAAAATAAAAATGGATACTATGAATTACTTACTGAGATTACCTTACATTTTTCCTTGTTTGAAATTATCTCATATTCGTTCTTTTCCATCATTTTAGATGATGAAACTAAAATCTATGGGGATCAGGGCATGTGATGCCTATAGCTAGTTGATTGGATGGATGTCTAGTTACGTCTTCGGCTTGGCATTGTGACTACTTAGTGGATTTAAGGATATTTTTATTATTTCTACTTTGATATTTTAACGTAGTTATTGGGTTAATATTTTATGTGATTTCATGAGTATTGAATTTAATCACAATTTTATAACATACCTAATTAATTTTGAACATTGTGCACTTATCGTGTCCACTTACAGTTGTATGGCATCTATTCCCCATCTAGGTTTGGGACTTCACATGAAGAATCCATAAGCAATGAGCAAAATCTAGAATCTTCCATTAAAAAAAAAATCAGAACAACCCTCGATTCAATTTCCAAGGCTCATCCTCTGAAGGAAAGAAATAATAATAATAATAATAATAAAAAAGTGAAACATAGAAGATTGTGAAAGAGTATTAGAAGATCATGGGAAAGAAGAAAAGGAAATGTATATGAAAAAGAGAAGAGAGTGAGATATGCCTTTGTGTTTCATCTTTTGTGATTTCTAGGTGTAATCGTATAGAAGAAACACTAGCTGAATAAGAAGCCATAAACCCAAATCTAGTTAGTTGTACATTTAATATATATATATATATATATATGTAAGGTTTACATAAAATAGTCAAAAGTCTAAAATAACGATACTAACAATAATCTTCAAAATTACAAATTATCCCATTTGCCTACTAAATGAGCTCAAAAGACAAACTATGTCGGTGTGTTTATTCAAAGGGGATAACATAAACTAATTATATTGGTATGCTAGTGAAAAATTTTAGTTATGAAAATTGTGAATTCTCTATTCCCATTCTATCCCGATGTTTTTAACATAATGTTTTTGTCTTTCACTTTATCCATTTTAAAAAATCAGTTCTAGATATCGAGCATGACAAGGAAGCAATAGAAACAAAAAATTTGGCATCATTGGACCCTACCATCAATCATTCAAGCAAACAAACAAAAGTAGTTCAAATTGGAAATGAAAGCAACACAAACATCATTGGAATCCTAATTGAAGACGTCACACAATCGATGGTTGACAAGGGCACACAATTGGTTCTTGACTATGCCACATGATCGCCCCAATGCAAATGTGTAAGAATTGCAGCCTAGATCAAATTCCATTTTTATTATTGAAATTAATCCTAGATTAACAATGAGATGACTAATCATTATTTCTATTTTAATGACTAGAATTGATGTTAGAAGGTAATTTTATTGTAGCGTAGAGAAATCAATTCTTGATTTGAGATTAAAGTTAATAAAAAATAACTTACTTATTATTAATTGAGTTTTGATTTTTAAAACATATTTATATGAATAATTAAGGAGAAGGGAACGGTTCGCTCTAATCCAGTGGCATTGGATCCTGGATTATAACTATTCACACTCTCTATGTTAGAATTGTTCATCTTTTATGGATTACATGTTTGATTCCTACGAAATCCTTTCCCCTATCCTCAATTAACTTCTAAATAATTGCAATATGTTCAAAAAAAAAAAAAAAAGAAGAGGAGAAAAAAAAAATGAAGATCATCTATTTTAATATTCATCTATTTGGGCGAAGTTAGAGCTCCCAAAGCCACCTAAGCCATTGGAGCGCGAGGCATTGAAGTGGCTCCTCATTGAAGCAAATGTGAACAGTGGACAAGGGGGTCATTTGCAACAATTGAAGAGTTTGGGGTTCATCTTACACAGACATTTTTTTTGTAAAGTGTCTTCTGCAGACCTGGAAGTTTACGGGGATGATATATGCTTTTTCGCCAATACTCGACAGACACTGCCTAACTTTACGCTTTCTCTCCTTTTCAGATTCAGAGCAAGAACGGAACAGCCTTTGGTAAACTTGAAAATAGTGAGGGAGAGAGGAAAGGAACACTGAGTTTGCTTTGAGG